ATATAGTTTTGTTTTGAAAAACAAGCCCAAACCTGGTCCTGAGGAGATGAGCTGAGTAGAGTCTGGGGCAGAGTCTGAATCCAGCTTCCCCGAGGAGATCCCCACCACCCCCGGGGACATCAGAGAGCATGGTCTTGGGAAGATTGCTAATCACAGTGAGGACAACTGAACAGGGCTGTAGTTTGAACATCAGGCAAAAATCTGGCTGGGAGAGGGGCTGCTTTCCATGTTTCCTTCTTAGCTGCTTAGGACTTCCTTCAGGTTCTTAGCACCTTGCTCAGGGAGAAAGGAGTATTCAGCTGATCCAGGAAAAATGCATAGGGCTGGGGGAGCAGGAACCTTGTCAGCTCATGGTCATCAAAGTATAAATAAATAAGAACCTGGCTCACCCAGACAGTCTGTCCTCAGTGTGTCTTCAGGTTGTGATGTAGGTCACACCTTGTGCCAAACTGGACTGCCTGCCCTCTGCATCAGAGCACAGGGGTCATCTTGGGATTTCCCTTCACCACTCTTCTGTTTGTACCTTCTGTTCCCTGGGTCCTGGCACTTGGCCTTTCTTGGTGAATTCTCTTGTCTTTCTGGAGCTCACCCATCAGTACCTTTAGGAACAAAGGTACACGGGAGGTATTGTTTTGAGTCCTCGGATGTCTACAGATACCCTTATTCCACCTTCCATACCTGATTATTTTTCTGGGTATAGAATTCAGAGTTGGAAATGATTTCCCTTCACAACATTGAAGACGTGGGTCCATTTCTGCTTGCTTTTAATGTTGCTGTAGAGAGTCTGACGCTATGCTTATTCCTGATCCCTTGAATGGGACTTGTTTGTGCTTCCTGGAAACTTGGAGAATCTTCTCTTTTTCTCTAGTGTTCTGAAATTTCACAGACAAGTGCCGGGTGTGAGTCTGTTTTCATCTATTTTGCCAGGTTTGCTGGGTGCTTTCAGTCTAGCAGCTCATGTCCTTTGGTTCTAGAATTACTTTGTTAATTTCCTCCTCTCTATTTTCTGTGATCTCCTTTAAAAAAAAAAAAGTTCATTTATTTATTTTGAGAGAGAGAGAGAGAAAGAGAGCGCATGCACAGGAGAGGGACAGAGAGAGGGAGAGGGACAGAATCCCAAGCAGAATCCAGCATCACAGATCCCGATGTGGGGCTCGAACTCAGAACCATGAGATCATGCCCTGAGCCGAAATCAAGAGTTGCATGCCCAACCAGCTGAGACACCCAAGTGCCCCTGTGATCTCTTTTTAAAAACTTCTCTTATTTAGATGTTGAAACTACTAGACTGTCCTCTTTCTCTCTATTTTTTAAAATAGACTTATTTTTTAGAGCAGATTTAGGTTCACAGCAAAATGGAGTAGAAAGTACAGAGATTTCAGGTATTCCCATGTCCCCACACAGGCAGAGCTTCTCCCCACTGTCAGCATCTCCCACCAGAGTGGTGCATTTGTTACCAACGATGAACCTCCATTAACACACCATCATCCCCTCAAAGTCCCTAGTTTGCATTAAGCCTCACTCTTGGTGGGGCAAATTCTGTGGGTTTGGACAAATGTATAATGACATGTACCCACAATTATAGCATCATACAGAATAGTTTTACTGCCCTAAAAATTCTCCGTGTTCTGCCTGTTGATTCCCGCCCCTCCCCCAGTCCCCAGCCCCTTGTAACCACTGATCTTTTTACCATTTCCATAGCTTTGCTCTTTCTAGAATATCATATTGTTGGAATCATATCATATGTAGCCCTTTTGGATTGGCTTTTCTTCATTTAGTAATAGGTATTTAAGATTCCTTTGTTTTCATGGCTTGATAGCTCATTT